CAACAATATTCAGATTCAGCTATGCTCAAAAGGCATGTATCATATTTTCTAAAGCTTCTATCAGTAAATATGGAAATACCTGTGAATGTTACTGATATCCTGCTGGGGAAGGAGAACTATACATTAACCAATGTGTTATGGAAGATTATAATTTTTTAATTAAATTGTAACTATGCATACATATTATTGGAAATTTAATTTACTTCCACGGCATCTATAACCCAGTTACAAATTGTTTTTTTCTTTCAGGCAAGAAAACAGCAGTATTCACAAATTCTGTAAAAGATTAGCAAAAATTATTTCAGGTTGCATTTTCTACTTAGAAGTACGTGTAGAGTCCTCCAGATTTCTTCAAACTTTGTAATCCCTCACTATAATTATGTGAATTATGATTTCTTACCATGATATCCTTATCAAAACCAGTCTTTTCTTAAATAACCAAAAGGGATTATATTTACTAATTTAATGTCTTTTGAGGTGCAATGGTGTATGACGTTTCTCCCTAGGTTATGCAAGACTCAACGTATGCAAATTTGACTTTAGTAAAGCTTCCCATGGCTCCCCTAATAAAAAATTCCAGGAAAGGAGAGTTATGTTACATGCATAAAAAGCAAGTAGTGTGTCAACTTCTTTCTGCAGATGAATAGTGAGGATTAAACTTAATGCAGTCTCTACCAGGGCTCTGTTTTACTCTTTAGTCCAACTTTGGTTTTGCGTTCTTGCAGTAACTTCTACATATTATCTTTTTCAAAATTCTACTGTATATACAGTACACATTTTTTCAAAATTGTAAGTAATAAATATCAAGGATCAAACCTCCTGCTAAGAACTCCTCAAGAGCAACCTGGAACATCATCTGAGAAGCCACATACAGTACAGTACGACCCCAGAGCTGTACCCCTTGAGGATCTGCAGGCCTCAAACTATGAGTTCTGCAACTATGTCATAGTTCATGCCTATTTAGTAAGTTTTTAGTTAGTTGGATGCTATTTAAAGGAATAATTAGAGGTGTAAATAAATGTGGTCCTTGTGTTTTCTGGAAACTAATTTCTTATTTCTAGCAAATAGGATTTTTTGTGTGAAATACTACTATGAGAACATAACATATTTTGTTTTAAGACACATTATTTTATCCATACATCACTATGCGATATGGTATATTGCATTTAAATTTTCCATTCCATCTGGGACGTGAATAAAGGGGGGGGGGGGACTGTATATGCTTTAAAAGCTACACAATCCTTTTAAAAATACTTAGAATCTTTTGTGATCATATAATATTTGGTAGAAATATTTTGAAATAATTATAGTTGCAGACAGCAGAAAATAATACAAATGCACCAAATATTTTCCAAGAATTTTGTATTTTTTTGTGTCAAATAACTAGCTATTGTGCACTTTTATAAAAAATCTCATCTTTGTTCTAATCAATAATTTAAAATAATACCATACATTCTTGCCTTATTTAACAATAGTCAAGAATTTATTTTCTAACCTTAAATTATATCGTAGCAGGATCATACCTCCTATGATATGATACGCATACTTAAAAAAATAATGGTGCTTTAATTCTACATTTCCAATAAAGCTCACAGGTGAGATGCCTGTAAACGAGTGCCAGATTTCCCATTAGGCACTGTAGGCACAGTGCCTAGGGCCTACGAAATTTTAGGGCCTATGAGGAGGGAAACACTAGTGACTAACAAAAAAATGAGCTGAAACAACATGCTTGCGATTGACTCCAAATTAATAATCATATGCTATCTAGCGGCTGTTCAAGAAACTAGAAGTATCGAAGTGATGGCCCCTCGACTCGCTCCATCAATCACGTGGTTTAGCATTAGAACAGTGTAGAGCCCGCACCAGTCAATTTAGCGGCTGCACCTCCCCTTAGCTATGCACCCGCAATGCAGGCTGGGGGCAGCGGCCATGGGACTGGACTTGAGGTCAGTGTGTCGACCGGGCCGGCAGTGTAAATAGCATAGAGAGTTTATGAGGAGCCATTGTAAATAGTTGTCAGTGTAAACTGAAGTACCCCTCCTTAATCCTTACCCTATGTATATGTAACCCCTTTGAGGAGTTTCAATCTCTGTCCGTCAAAGCCCTAGGGGTTGGTGCCGGCACATCAGGGGTGTGCGAACTTCATTCCGTGTGAATCCCCCAGTGCAATATGTCAATTGACATTGTGTCAATTGGCGTTTACCCCTCTTTTTGCACATTTCGGAGTGAAAGTGCCTAGGGCCTACGAACACCAAAATTCAGCCTTGCTGTGAACGACATGAATTAATACCAGTTGAAAGTGATTGGCAAAAACAGATATCAATGAAAGCAGAACAAAACTTTTCTTAAGATTATGACTGCCATTTTGAGGATACATAAACATACAGAGTGAGATTTTATTGACTCTAGGAAAGCATAAGATAAGATCTAGGACAGAACTGAAATTAAAGGTGGCTGATGTATGTGAAATAAATATGACAGAAGATCATTAGTGAATTCTTGAAGTAGGGTTGAAAAACATGTACAGCAGAACAACAAAAAACAGAAAAACATGAATTCACCTGAATTCTGTAAAAGGCACAAATAGTAGATATGTAGGAAGAAAGAAATACACACACCTGATGAGATAAGAAAACACTGGCTGATCCAAATATTCTTAAACAAAATTTCCCCAGCTCTATTATTGTGCCCAGATATCGAGGTAAATAATTTATATATATATATGGTGTAAAAGATCGCAATCAATATTTTACCTCTCATATGCAGCTACAATTTCTTTCTTCAGCACCCTCAGCAAACCACAGGCAATGTTAAACAAACTACTGTACATTTCACACTGACGGTAAGAATTATGAGCATAGTAATTCTTTCTGAAATAGTACTAATGTTTAAAAAATTATATAGAAATAATTGTCTTATGCAAATATTTATAAACTTCTTCAAAATAACATGTAACAAAGGAAGTGCTTTACTGCAATTTGACCTCATTTACTCCCAAGACACTGCTGTCCTTGTCTTAAATTGTGCACACTTCCTTCAGCCGCTAGGCTGCACACAGTATTAACTAATTTACACAGTATTGTGTGAAAATCCAAGATGAGCTGGCTTATTGGAAGGCTAATATGCTGCTGAGTGCACATTGGCTCCAAGGTAGAAAGTAAAATATAATTATCATGATATTACGCTATAATTGGTTTTCTTATGAGAGAACCTGCACATAAAAAACTTTCTTCATAATGGAGGGAGATCACAATCACACAATCAATGGTTAAACTTGAAGCTACTGTATACAAGCAAGGATGGCTGAGGCAAACATTCTAAAGAATTTAAAGACAAGACAGAGATGAGTCCCATTCTAAGCTTTTCCTTGTCACAAGAAAGGAAAATAGACACCTTTGATAACCTGCTTAAATGGGAAGAGCTGCTTCAAAATCTTTGTTCAGCAAAAGCAGCCAACATAAAACAGTTACTTGTTAAAAAAATCAAATCTTTGTTCTAATCAATATTATCATATTTTGATAATCACCCTCCTTCATTTACACTGTGATCAGTAACACTTTAAGTTACTTAAAATACACAGGCATATTCAGCATACACACCATCCATCTTGCAAAAAGGGAAGCAGTCTACAAAAAGGGGGAGGGAGTGATAGTGATGGAGTTACTGAATGTTTAAAAGAAGCCTAATGGAGAGACTGACAAGAGGACAGAATGATGTACTGTATTTATCTATATACATCACTCTGTAACCCTGAGAAGCTCTCATCGTGTCATCAAGACATTACAGACAATTTTTTAAAAATTAAGTTTTCATTTTAGTTTTTCTGCAATCACTTGATCTTCTTTAACAAAGAAAAAAGTTCATGAACAATTTAGTCATACTCAAAATAACATGTAACAATGGAAGTCTGAGTGTATTGTACATTTATTTTTATTTTCTCCACTGAACCTCGTGAGGTACTAATAAATAGAACTATATACAATAATATCATTGAGGTACCTGGTACTTGGACAGCCTTGCATTTATCAGCAGTTATGAAAAACCCTTAAAACATCAATGCAAATAAGTATACAGTGCATCCTAGATACATTAATTGACTTTGGAAGTCTTTAATAGAATTACATACAGTACAGATAAAGCAAATGTTCATTTCTCATCCATTGTCTGCATTTAATCTATATTAATCTGAACCACTCTAAGCTCTGCTTTTACCCCTTCTATTACTTTAGTCATAAATTCATAAATAACTCAGACAGAAACTTTAAAAAAAAACAATGCATCACACACAGGAAGATGTTATTAAAATCCTTGTCATAACATAACACTTCAATTAAGTTATTTTTTAAAAGGCAGGAATTCTGCACGCTTTTTAAAATCGCCACCCAAAGATAACAAAGACTGACAGCACTGAGTGCTAGAATCAGTCCAAACACTGAGGTTTTCTGAGCTTGTCACATCACCGCCACCTTGCCCCCAGGTTCCCCTTTTCAATTCACCTCCTCCTGGGCACGAACTGTATGTTGAACACTAGAAGTACTTAATGTCCCTGTCTGATAGCCACGACAGAGCTAACAGTACTTATTGATTGGGTGTCTGACAAATAAAGGCAGCTCTGTTATTGAAACACCCCCTCTCACAAAAAGAATAACTGAAGAAGTTGTGCACTCAGCAATGGTCTTGATGAAGTATAGCAACATGCTTCCACATCAAGACCAATCAAAGCAACCACAAAAGAAAACTCACAAAAAAACACCATTAAAATGTGTTACGGAGAGAAGGGGCTATGGACAATAAGCATGGCTTTGCATATTTTATGTAAGGCTGACTATTATCGCACTGCTCTTTTTTAACATAATTCATGCCTCAGTGCATCAGTTTCTTTACAAATTAATTTTTCAGGATCCAAAGGACATTGCATTAAGAAAGGCAAGTTTATGTAACGGAAGCACAGAACTACAAGGAAAGCACTATCAGTAAAATACTAACGCAAACATGCTTACCATCCTCTTTGCATTCTTCCGGGGGCTTAGCCTTTTTTGCAAGCCGTGGATCAAGCCATGATGTCGTCTTGGTGTTGTGACTGAGGAGAAAAGAGGATATTTTGAGCGGACACATTGCAGCAAATCCAACCTTAAAAAAAGCTCTCTTGCCCCCACCCCTAAAGGGAAAAAAAAGGTTAGTCTAACAAAATTGCAATCGATATGTTTAATTTGCTTACTGCTTCTAATTAGCCTTGAAAGAGGTGTGAGGGTAATTGTGCAAACAGCTGTACGTTTGGCAAATTCAGCTCTCTGGACTGAATGCAGCTATTGGACAGAGATCAGATACATGGCTGCCAAGAAAACTTCAATGAATCTGTTGAGCTCATCTAAGGAAACAATGTCACTCCTTCAGGATAGCCGGACAGGGGTGGGTGCTGTAAACTCAGTTCTAATGTTTAAATTAAATGTAGGCAAGAGTAAAACATGAATAACCCCCCCTGTATCTAATGAGTTACTCTATTTTGTACTCCTACGCCTTTTATCTGATTTCACAGCAATCTATTTGGCAAGACGATGTAAACCAATGTTAAATGTAACCATGCTTCTTTAACTCACTGGTCCTAAAGCATTTTTCTTTCTAAAAGAGAATACTTTTCAGTACATGAGAACCTTTGTGAATATAAAGCAATTCTGATGTGCAACTTGAAAACACAAAATGGCAAGGACTATATAATGGCATCGTGTTTTTAGCTTTTATATAAGACACTTTTTGAAGAAAGTACATACCAAATATTAGAAGAAACGTATGTTAAATAACGGCAAAGAATTTCAGTACAGTAGCTACCAGGACATGGAAAAAAAAGCAGATCCACATAATGATGGTTTACATAGTGGATGCACTAAAATTTTGCTGAATGGGAGATGACATTGGTAAATATATTCTAATTATTAACATTGGAAATTAATTGTGAAAGTCTCATGCTACAGTAGTAGGACTATTTGGCCACTATTGGAAGCAACACAATCTGTATACTGTATCTATGACGAATTCTTTTGCACCATGTTGCTGATGCTACTGTATGTTACTGGATTACTGTATGTTCCATTCTTTTCATGGAGGCTGAAGAAGCATGTCCCTGTTTTACTGGTCTCTGAACCCTCTGAATACACCATCCCAAAACAATCCAGACATGTGGGGTACAAGTTTGGTGAGTAACTGTGAGATTTTATTCTAGCAATAAAGCTGCAGTTGCATGAGAAGCATGAGGATGGACATTGTCCTTCTGGAATATTGCCACATGAGAATAAGTCAGTAGGAAGGGCAGCAAGTGAGGTCCAGGAATAGATCATGACCATGGAGTCAGGTTGCCATTAATCACTACAACTGGAGTTCTGTAGTGATTAGACAATTCTACGTAGGCCGTCACACTCAAACTCCCACATTGACATACTGTAGGTATGGCGTTATGGATCACAGATCATGGCCTATTATTGATGGACAGAGCTTGAACGTAAGATCTTGCTAGATTAAAATTTGCTGGCAGTGAATATCCATTGTAGTGAGCAGCGGTGTGCAGACTTAGTCAAACATACTGATTGCAGGAGGACATTATTCTCTTCATAAACAGGGCATATTGGTTTCTTTCTGTGTTTCTCTTTCTTGATTTGTACCGGGTGTGACATTTAACAAGTTACCTGTAATTCATCTCATCACTTCTACCCAATCAACTCTCTCACTTATTAAATGATTTTATGCCTATGCGGCAGTCAAGGTCACCTGAGTGCATCATGGCGAGTCCTGAAAACTCAATCAAAATTATGTGAAAAACATTAAATCAATATTAAAAAACTGCATTATTATTTTTTTTCTAAAGAATATATACACAGAGTGTTATGTTTCTTTTCAAGATCAGTCTGTTTAAACAATACTTTATCTGGATAATTGCAGATTTGCCTAAATCTACTAGATTTTTGTGACACAGTGATGTATTCACATTTTGTACATTCCAAAGATACAGTCAAATTATTAATAACATTATTAGATTTTTACCAAAATGGTTTTGGTTCAGCAGAAATAAGTAAAAAGTAAAACATACTCAATGAAGTAGACTTCTCCTTTCTCAGTGTAGGCCATCTCCCAGTTGTCAGGCAGTGGTCCCAGCTCTTCATTCTCGTCAGGTTTTGTGGGCTGTTTTGCTGGCTCCCCCTCCTCTTTTGGCCCCTCAGTGTGGCCGAACGTCGGTGTTGTGTATGGCTGTGGAGGTATCTCACCTGAGGCATCTGTACTTTTATCTTCATGTTCACTGGATTCTACAGACAGAACACATGGTGAGTCAGGCCTGACCTCCCAAATGCACTTTTAATTTCCCTGAAGACTGCAAAGTTATAAAGAGTGGGGAAAAATCACTTGGGTAACCAATATGAAACTGTTATAGAAGGCAGGTTTTGCAGAAAGGGAGACACAGCAAAAACAAAAAACAAATCTATGGAATGTCGCAGAGATCTGCTTAGATTACAACTGTACTCATTGATTCTTTCGTAAAATTCCTTGTCACATGCACAATCGGAGAGGAGGCGGCAAACGTACATGGATAAAATTACAGAACTAAAAACAGTTTTTATACAACACAAAAAAATGCTTTATTCCTCAGGTTGAAGCATTTCTAAGCTTTTGAAGGATGTATTTACATAAGGCATTTGTACTGCTTTTTAGTCTAAGGATTAAGTAGATTATCTGTTGCTTTAATAAAAAGCTTTGAAAATATGCATTTTGGTGCCATAATGATTAATGAGCAGTAACGTCTCCAAGAATACTGAACAGTAAACAGATATACTTCATATTATTATTTAATGGATTGGCCCACAGTAAACATCATACAGTAATTGCATAAGATTGTGAAAAAGGAATTCATCCTTATTTAATAAAATAATGTACTGTATGTCCATTTGCTTGTTCATTTTCAGCTTGAATTAAAGAGTTTAAAAATGTCCTGCCAAACTGTATATTTTAAGGCACTCTCAAATTACTGAAAGTCTATCTATTCATACATGTATGAAAGGTAAAAATCATAATGATTTGGAAAAGTAGCATATTTAGAGCCACATATAGCTTAGGCCTTTAGGTTTCAGTCTAACAATTACAGGACATTGTGTGTTGCTAGGAAACAAAACAATGAAGATTTATCTTCTAATTGATGCTTAATTTTGTTGAAGAGTTGCATAAAAACCTATTCTTATATCTTAAAACATATTACAATGCATATATTTAAGCAAAATGGTTTTAAGGTGATAATCACAGATCTTGTAATCTAACTGCTGAGTGACCTTCAGAGTGAAATTATCCTCCATCAGACTTGTTTTTGAGATAGAAGGCTGCTTAGAACAAACTGGTAATTATATACAGCAAGCCAAGACTGCAATGAGATCCAGCACTTTTGATTACTAAAAAAACTCACTTTTTAATTGTTTCTTGCTGCAGGAGATACTTGACCAAACACACACTTGAAAAACAATTCTATTTTTACTGTTTTTACTGTTTGGCAATTACATTTTGGAAAGAAACTGACTAGTATCTTTTAGGTTAGTGAATGTGTTTGACTGACTTAAACCCCTACTATTTATTTTCTGTATTTATGTGCTTATTAATTAGCTTTACTATAGCTTATCTCTCTAAATTAACCTCTTGCAATCATCATTCTAAACAAAAAGGCTTTTCTGTATTTATCTTGCAATATCAGGAACTGTTGTGGGATGAAACATAATTTTTAATTCTTTTTTGGTTTTAATTTTAAGAAATCAATCTCATCTTTAAAGACTAAAAGTTTAAGATCAAACATTAAATGCTGTTTTATCCCCAAATTATGACCAATCCAATGATATAATAAAATTACTTAAAAAAAAACATTAAAAAATGCATTGCAAACTTTAAATAATTTTTCTTTTCTAATTTCTCAGATTTACAATAAATACTTTAGAGCAACCATGATTTAGCATGCATTTTGTTGACAGATCTACCAAGTCCTTATCTTGCTCAATGATGGTTTATAATGGCTTAGAAATTCTGCCCAAATGTAACTGCTAAGATTTGGTTTCTTTTCTTGTGTTTGGTTCCAACCAACCCAGAATCTAATTGACAGTGGTATAGGTAGACAATAAAAGAAACATATTTGTGAAGGGCAAATAACACTCACAATATGTTAACAAAACGAGCTGGTTTGTGACAACTTCAAATATTACATTAGTTATAGTCATTTTACTTCTGCTGTATTGTAACTTTTCATAGCAGATAATCCTTCCATCCACCCTTCATCAGAAAGCTAATTCTAGCAAGGTACATGACAATCTGAAACCAATCCCAGAAACAAGGCTATGCTGTGGATATGACAACAGTTTAAAACATCATATTAATAATACATTGGCTAGCAATTACAACATTTACTCCCTTCCAAAGATGTCCCATTTTGTTGGATTACAGATAATCCTGTGAGAGACCCTGCCTGGGCTAGGGCCATCCCAAGGGTCTGCATGCACAAGAACTCACAATGGCTAAAAGATGTGGAGTCCAGGAGGCTCCACTGAAGACCTTTATCAAGTATAACTGAAACATAAAACTCAAAACCTTAAACCACCCCTACCATCATGCATGCCTGTTACATAACACAGAAATTATAACTGTGTGCTAAACACTGTGTCAATGAATCAATAATAAAGTCTTTCACCCTGAGTGTGGCTATTTACAAGTAAGTAGAGGCCATATAGCATAATTTAGTGGGAGGTTGGCTGTAATTGTAGACACCTGTCTGTAAACATAGAAACAATTTAAAAGTGAATACTGTCAATCAAAACTTGAATGCTCAAACCAAACAATTTCAGTCATCAGAAGTTATGAAAGAATATAAATGTCAGCAAAAAACCTTAAAAGAACATTTAAAAAGTAACACCAGAGCCTAATTCAGCAAGCAACAGGCGCAAGGTGGAATACTCTTTTGATGGGATGCCAGTCCTTCAAAATGCACACACAGATGAACGCACTCATAGCAGGGCTATTTCTTTCCCAGAAGCCTATTAACCTACGATTTTATGTCTTTGGATATAGGGAGGACACCAGAGCACCCAGTGGAAATCAATGAGACAAACATACAAACTGCACACAGATAGCAACCCAGGAACTTAACCCACGGTTTCATAAATTCCAAT